TTGTTATGTGGTGTTCCCCGTCTCACAGGAAAGCTGCTGCTCCGTGAAAACCTTGGCCACGTTGTGAAAAGTGTGCTTCCAAACGAGCCTCAAATGTGAGAAACAGCCCTCCAGTTGGCTGATTTAACGCTCAAAGACCGAATAGCGCTCATTTGTCAAAAGCATGCTCGCAAGCACGAAACTATTCCTTCAGATTCAGTTAACCTGCTGTTTAGAGACTTGAAGAGATCAACAAACACACATCCCTTCGCTCCATCCCCCTGGGAAACGAAATCAGGCGCCCTAGTTTGGAACTCAACGAAGCAAACGATGAAACTCAAGTCGAACCCCTTTCCTCCAATTGCATTGCCATTCACACACAGGAAGAAGGTAATCAGTCAAACAAACACATGGAACAAAACAGTATTCAACAAGCAGGGGAATATTTATACCCATCCGCTCGAGCAGATTGGACATAGCGACCTGCCAACCGGGCCCCAGCAAGCTCCATTTCCAGCGTCGCCTTCTGCACCACCTGACGCGTCCCTCGGATAGTGTCCCGGAAACTCAACCAACTGGTCGGCCTGGCGAAACGGCAAAACGGCAAAAAGGGGAATGAACCATGATGCTCGTACACCCGGCCAACCGCCCAGAATGAGCGGTTTGATGCGCCTTTCTGCAGGCCTCACAAATCGCAAAACCCTAACGCACACCATGAATGGCCAGAGTTGAGCCCGGGACAAGCCAAATGTACCGCGGCTAACTCGGAGTTTCCCCTCTGGCTGGGACATTGTCCTTTCAGAACACAGCATGGCAATGCCACACCAAGTTTGCACACATGTCATGTTTCTACTACCCGGGGATCTGGCACGTGCGCACTTTGACAGCCACAGCACCAATCAACAACACCTTACCGGTCCAAGAGGCTCACGCATGGCTGCGATCAGGTCACCTTCAGCTGGTCTCCAAACTTTTTTTTGGGCAATCTGGTTGACGCCTCCAAGCATTGGAAGGGAACCTCTAGTTAATTCCGAAGCCCAAAAAAGTCGTCAACTGCACGGCGCCATTTTTAATCTGCACAAGCAACAAATTCAACGACCCTCCCAGGTCAACCACCAATCCGGGCCCCAGCAGTCCGTTCCCGCCCCAGCCTTACGCTCCAAGCGCACCGTCTCCTCCAAAGTGTGGTGCTGGGGAAAGGTGGCGGTAGGGGGTCAGGTGTTCTCTTACAATGGGGTCTCTGGAATTCCCTGTTCCACAGATTGGAAGAGTGACTTCCTGATGTACCTCGCCCCTTTGCAAGGTGAATAATAAGAAAGAGACACTCTCGCAAAGTGTGACTTGGAGATCGGCAATTAGGCAAGTCAAGTCCCACCATCGCACTTCATGCTCGCTTTGATCATGGACTGGCGTAGAGAATGCTTGGAGCTCCACATGAGGCCTGACATGCAATCGACGCACGCTAGCAGCTCCGAGCTTGTAAAAGCCGATCTTCCTATGGCAAAACTCCGTGGCCTTGCTGTCAAATCTGCCAAAACTCTGACCACTGGAAACCAACGCTACTATATCTTACAAGTCATCCAAGTCATCCAAGCTATCAGTGTCAACATTGGAACAATCGCATTGATCCTTCACTCGCGAGTGCCACTGTCCTGAAGAGCCCCCTTAGTTCTGGGCAAGAAGCACCGCCACCCACATCGACCCCCCCAATCAGCACCTCCATGCGAGCTGCCTTCTGCTTCTCCTCTATGACTGCCTGCATTCAGCAGCTCAAAAAAAAAGGGCCCCGGCTTGGGACACAACAACTGCACTTCTAAGAGGTTCATGAGGGCTTTCTGAGCAGCGACGCCCTCAATGATGCTAAGCAAACGGACATTTCGCACAGGCATGTGCATTTCGAACGGGCGATAACATCCGGCTTAAACCGTTTGGCACTGACAACCAAGCACGACGCATACGCGGAAAGCTACTGAACCCAAAAGGTCGGAGACCACTGGATGCATCAAGCTGAGCTGCCAACACACTGTAGGCCAGACACGGTCCAAGCTCCAGTTTCAAGAAAATTCTGGTCTGGACGCTTGTGGCACAAATGGCAACAACAAATGGCATGCAGTACCGGCGCAAGGGCATCGTGTCAAAGAGAAGGGGGTCTGAAGCTCCGGCCGCGGCCCTGTCGAGGGCCTTCTTACCGGTAAGAGAGTGCTTCAACTCGAGCACGTGCCGCTTGGACTGGTCGATGTCTTGGGCAATGATCTGGCGCGAGTCTTGTGGCCAGTTTCTGATCTGAAGATCCCTTAAATTTCCATGCTTCCTCACCGTTGCGGGGCAGGGGAGTTCAACGGCATCACCACGCAGCACATGAAGAATGTCAAGCTGCAAAAAGAAGAGGCTCCAGCAACCCAACTGACATTTGTTTGGTGGTCAAGTGGTCAGACCAGTACTTGCCAGCGCTTTTTCAACATTGTCTGCTAAGCGCTGCCCACTTTTTCAGCAAAGGCCACGGTGAAGAACAAATCCATGCGCGTGCAAACTGGCGCTGCCCTGCCTGCGCCTGCATCTGAAAGCCCTTGGCAGAAGCCTGCGGAATCGGGCAGCCAACAGCATGGAACAAGGAGCAACCCATCGGGCTGCCAGGCCCTGACAGGCAGTCTCCGCTGGTGCTTCTTGCCGCCCTGGAGAGCTTGGAAACTGGCAGGGGCTTTCCTTTTGTGCTGCTTGCGCAGGTCTCATGGTGCCACGTGCAGGTCGGATGGAAGCCATTTTAGCCCAAGTTCCAATGGAACAACATGGATCCGCGGAAGCGGTCACGTCATTTTGTTGGCACACAGCATGTAGGTATCGAACAAAACATACTTGCCGCGGGCCTGCGGCAATAACATCCCTACCCCCTCGCCGAACATGGAGGGGAGGTCCGAACATGTCACTTACATTGCTTGCGGCCTAAGATGACATTTGCAACACCTTTCAGACCTCAAAAGCCAATCTTACAATTCGGAGGTCCCTTTGCACACTTGTAGTCCTACATGTTTAGGTGCCTTCTCAGAGAAAATGCAAGATACAAGATCAAACCTCCTCGAACCTTCTATTGGCCTCAAGGCACACTCGCACGACAACCAGCGCAAACACCGATTCAAAAGGCAGCATCAATATATCGATAGTCGATCGAGTGTGCAAAGGCAAAGCTATGAGCCTATTGGTTAAGTGGCCGAAGTTCAAGCTGTTTACCACAACATACCAAGCTCCTCAAGCCAAGCTGGAAACAAACTCGGGGAATGGAGGAAACAAGCTGCGCTCAATAACTCACACCTACTGAATCATTCTGGCTGCAATTGCATTGGTTCTTGTGGAGCCCTTTTTGCGACCCCACAACATAATAGCTCCTTGGGTTCTTGCTGAATCATCCAGAAGCCCATTACTTGCAAGTATGGCCTCTGTGTGGCTGGCTAAAGCTCCCCATACCCCAAAAGGAAGAAATCCCCCGACCGCTGCTCCGCAAAGTGATATTTCAACTGAACAGACGGCGGGTTCCAATACTGGCTACACTTGCTGGTGCTCAATAGGGAATGACCTTCCGGGTTTTGGAAATGAACCTGGGGATTCCCTGGAAGGAAACCAAATCGGGGGTGGTTTGTCTTGGGGGCCATTCCATTTCTCATTCCCTGCCTGTGGAACCGATCGCAAGTACATCCCAAAAGCCCACCTCCAAGTTGTTCCGCTGCAAGCCTTGCTCCGCCAGGGCCTCGGCGTCCGAGGCTCCACCGACATCGATTCACGTATCACACAAGGGCCTTCTGGGCAGTGCCCAAAACCCAGTTGCTATTGGCTCAGTTGCGCCAAGGACCCAGAAATACAAGGTTCAACTGCTGGGGCCACGACTAAAAATTGGACCAACAAGGGGAAACCGAAAGGTCAAAGGCTCGGCTTTGGGCAAGTGAGTTGGTTCTAAGTTCTAAGATGGTTGCACATAATTTATATCGACCATCTATAATGGACCCATCTATATTGACCATCTATATGGACCATTTATAATATTGAATCGGGTAGTGGAACCAGCTACTGACCGGACACATCCAAACACCAATGCTGTGAGTGGTGGGTTTTTGCGGGAATCCAACAAGTTGCAACAAGTGTGTGCGCCGCCACACCCACAGACACTACACACATATCCTTCATACAAAGCATGCGGTATGATTTGCCGCGCGCTACCCCGTGCTTAGTCCTCACGCCAGATTCTGTCCATTGGCAGTTCTCCCCACAAGGTGTTGCCTGAAGAACCGAGTGGATGCACACACGCGTGACACCGACACCAATCGATGTTTCGTGGCGACTTGCAACTAGGTCTTGCAGCTGCCGACCACCGCCCCCAAAGCACAACTGCAGGGGTGGATGCGTCTCGATTTCCCCTTGTCTCCCTGCTGCTACCAAAAAACATCACCCACCAAATTGAACGCAAGACCCACTGGTGAGAGCTGCCACCCGCCTCTCCTTTTTGCCTGCTCCGCTACCACCATGCTCTGTGGCTGACTTGGCAGAAGCCCACAGCAGTCCGCGGAGTTCGATTCGGAGCAGTGGCTTGCCGATGCGCGCGCCAACTTCGCCGTCCACAGGCTGAAACGCCCAAAGCTTCGGTCGGCGGCTAGGTGCTCCAAGATGCACCAGGAGCTTGCGACAATGGTCTGCTTGATCACGTGCTCATTTGCCTCGCGGTGTGAGTGGGGAGGGAAATGCAGGGCCCAACGCCCAGGGACACAACCAGAGGCAATGCGCCATGCCCGTGTGGAAGGGCCCTGGCCATGTGGTGTGTGTGCGTGTGAGGCGCAGAGAGAGAGAGAGTGAGAGAGAGGGAAAAAGAGAGCCTTTGATTTGGCGGTGATGCCAACTGAACAAGTCAGATGTGTAGATGATTGCTGCAACATGCCGACCTGACACTATGAATGAACCCTGCATGGCCTACCAGCCGTCCTGGTTTCCTCGGCAGTTGAAAAGACGCGCCAAGCCTCTCTGGCATGTCGCGTACTCCT